GAGGAAGTAAAAAACCGCCGATAATATCGGCCGATATCCTTTGTGTATATTATAGAACAGTACCAGTCAAAAGTTTGGACACTTTCCCATTCGTGTGTCCAAACCTTTGACTGGTACTATATATAGAATACAGTATATATATATATATATAATAAAACATTTTTTTATAGTTATTGATTGAAATCCTGTTTATCTGGTCTGGTTCTTTAAAGATTAAAGTCAAAATTAAACTCATTATTAATTATCATACTTTTTAAATAGTAATTTGTTGTGTTATGAAATCAAATGGCCTGGAAGTGATCTTGCATTTATTATGAATACTACAGTATTCACTGTTGTTTCAAAAAGTGGTCTTATAATTTAAGTTTAGTCAACTTGAAATGTGAAGTTGCATTGAATAACAACTTGGATATTTGCATTATCTCAAGTTAAATCTGGAAAATCACTGCGACTTCAGATGATTTTTTGTTTATTTTCTGTACAGTCACTGACTCCAGTTTATCTGGACTGGTTGCTTAAGAATTAAAGCAGAAATAAAACTCACCGCAGAAGAAAGGTAAGTGATGCAAGCAGTCTTCGTCTCCTATCAGTCCAGTCTCATGGACAAAGCTGCACTTTTCATTGCCATCTGTATTATTCGGCTCTCCTTCGGCCCATTTCACAGATGGCCATCGGACTACAAGCCGATCCAGGCCTCATACTGAGAGAAGTTGTGTGTAAGAAGCTGAACCAGAGCGCTGTTCTCAAAGCCGTCACTAATGGAGGCCAGATCGACGTGGTTTTCCCTGCAGTGCAGTTGAGCATTGTGCCAGGTCAGTTTGGTGTTATTGAAAACAAATTTGTGTCCAAGGCTATTTCCTGTAAGGATTTAGTGTTGTTGTCAGAACAAAGAATGCAGTTTGAACTGCTCATACAATCAGCATGCTGACAGTCAGCCTTTGAGACTTGAGCCCTATTTGCACGGGATTAGTATTATCTGGGGACCTTGTGTGATTTTGAAGTTACCCCCCCCACATCTGAATTTCATGTGGTGCATTCGCACGGGATAAGCGAAGCCTGTGATTTTACTCGAATTTACTGACTTATCTACCGGACACCCGGTCAAGGCTTTGAGAGTCCCGTTCTATGGTCCAGATGGATTAGAAAAAAGAAACTAATATAGTTTTGTGCCCTGTGACATTTACATTTCACCAGGTTAAAATAGTATCTCAAGCTTTATGCTTGATTTATTTGTAACACATTAACCTCAAAACCGTTTCAGCCTTTTCTTTCTACAAATTGTATGGTGTAGCGATATAACAGCACTCAAAATACTATCAAACACTCCAACGCAGCTCCATTCTTCACGCAAAATGGATAAAAAAGCACACATGAAACAAAAACCTCGAAAAATGATATACGACCCGCCAAATGCAGGCCAAATCACAGAGATGCCGATTCGCACGGGACTAATATTAGCACAGGACCTCGGTGTCCGGCGAAATATGGTAGGTCTTTTGCGGGGGAATTTTTACTTTACAAATTACAGACATGGCCGATTCGCACGGGATTAAGATCACAGACAACCTCCGCAACTATTACAAATGACTGGAATCCCGTGCGAATAGGGCTTTGGATGAAGAAAAAGTTTAATATCAAATGTGTCAGAGGTAGTAATGCACCAAAATGATTTTATTTCCACAGAAAACCAACATTTTTATTTATTTTTTTTTAGCCAGAAAGATTGATTCTGCCATGAGATAACAAATAAAAAGTTAGTTGTGACATTTATCCCCCCTCAGAATTCTTAGTTTATATCTCAGAATTCTGATATTATTTTTCTCTCGTAGAATTCTACTTTATATCTCAGATTTATTTATTTTTTTCCCCTCAGAATTCTAGTTTATATCTCAGAATTTTGACCAGAATTTTCTTGTTTAATTCTCATAATTGACTTTTTTTTCTCTTAATTTTGAGTTTATGTCTTATGTCAGAATTCTAGTTTATATCTCAGAATTTGTATATTTTTTCCTCAGAATTATAGTTTATATCTCAGAATTTTACATTTTTCTCTCAGAATTCTCAATTTATATCTCCAAATTCTGACTTTTGTTTCGCAATTCTAGTTTACATCTCATAATTCTGACTTTTTTCTCATAATTCCGAGTCAGAAGTCATGTTTGCCATTAACTCAGTGAAGTTTGAGTGCAATCATATGCACAGATTCAAACTGTAGAGAATGATGCATGAACTGATAAAATATTCACCTCCAATGCAATGCAACTCACTTTGGAGAAAAGTATCTGCCAAACACATGAAGGTAAGCGATGCTTACAAATGCAAATCAGCTTAAAAAAAAGTTGGCCTGATGATGAAGCAACTTACTAGGGATGCACCGATACTGGTATCGGTATCGGACCCGATACTGAGCTCCTGTATGTTAAAATGCCCTGATACCAAACACCGATACCACACAGCATGTGATAAGCGCCATATTCAGACAAAGAAACACCGACAACAGAACAACAGACAGCAGAATGGAGTTAAGGATGTTTAAGGAAGTAAAACAATGCACAAGTTACTTAACGGTAGGGAGAGAGAGACAGAGAGAGAGAGAGAGAGAGATTCTGTTGTGTGATCTTTGAGGTTCACTCACTTAGCACACACATCATTTGGATTAAAACTAAATCGTAAAAATAAGACCATTTATCGGGGCATTCACTATAAACATCATCTATTTTCAACCTTAGGCATACACGACTTTATGGCGAAAGTGAAACTAACAGCCTGTGTGAAATGCGTGTTTCTGGATTATATGAGTGGCTTTGGAATATAAATTGCAGCACGTTTCAGATGAAAAAACGTGACTTCTATTTCTGAAAATATCACAGTTAGGAGATTTATAACGAGTGGTTCCCTGCATTATTACAGCAAAGCGCGTGATTACAGTACTGAGCCGCTGCAATGGAGCAGCTCTAATGCTATTAAATTAAAGATGATGTACCATAGAGCAAAAAAATGAACAGTGAAAGTAACAAAAACTTGTAAAATAATACAAATGTTTTTTATAAAAAGTAAAATTTTAATGGGCATAATTAAGTGTGAAAATAACCGAATGATATACAGTCAAATCAAAAATTATTCAGAGACCAGATATCATTTTTGATATTTTTTGACTAGTGGGTGCAGGACACTATAGTTCATTTATGTAAGTGAGGATAGCAAAATAAAGTAAACTGTGACAAATCATACCCAAAAATTATTCAGACCGAGTCTGGGAAAAAAATTGAAGTTCAGGTTTGCATGAAGCTGGGTGACAGCATGCCCAGGAGACCACAGGCTGTCATTGAGGCTAAGGGTTGCCCAACTAAGTATTGATAGTTGTGTAAATACTGTCATACTGTCACGAATCCTGTCCATGGACTTCCGTTCAATCACCACCAGAGGTCACCCTTCCATTACATTGACTCTCGCACTACACAAACTGTTGCATATCATCCCGGACTACATATCCCATCATCCATTGCACTGATTGCACACAGCATTTCATATATAACACATTCAATATATAACACTCACTCAAACAACCTTTCACTGCCGAGTATTGTTCTGCATTTTCCACTCATCTAGTGTTAGCTGCATTACCGAGCCTAGTGTCTTGTTTTCTTTGTCTTGCCTTGTCTGTTTCCCCGTGTTCTGATCACTGCCTGTTTACCTGGATTATCTCTCGAGTCTCGCCCTATTGAATACTGTTTGCCCCTTCCTGGACCTTTGCATTGCACCTTGATTATCCCTTTTGCCTTGCCATCTACATACCTGTTTGCCATTGTCTGACCTATGCCTGTTCTTGACCACGTCTCAATGAATAAAGCCTTGCAGATGGATTCGCACGCTTCCTGTGTTCCGTCCGTTACACATACTAACAGCTGTCTAATTTTTGGTTGATTGTAATCTATTACATACCTTTCTATCAAAGTTATCTAACATTATCAAGCTGAATTTGTTCTGACACAGTTTAACTCTCAGTTCTTGTCATATTGTATTACCATTTTCTAAACTATAGCGAATAAACTGTGATAATGTGAGAAATGTTGAAGGTGTCTAAATAAATTTTGGTTTGACTATCTATTTGATAAATGAAGTTAACCAACTAACATTATACATACTCTTTTGGTTTCTGTACCCAATATTTAAAAAATGTACAAATGCAATAAAAATATTGGTATCGGTACTCGGTATCGGCGAGTACTGGAAAAAGTGGTATCGGTGCATCCCTACAAATTACATAATTCAGTTCAATCCCATAAAAAAAAGTCTTACCATTGTAGCAAAAAGAGGGTTTTTGTTCCTCACAAGATACAGCATGCCAGCTTCCAGTGTTTCTAATCACGCCACACCTTCTCTGAGTCCTGGAGGTCGTTTCTTCTGTTGGCGCCCAATACTTGTAGTCTATGTTCA